CTGAAACGGCATATTGTCCATATTTCCTGCGTAAACTGCATGTGATGAACGTTCGCGGTTGGTAGAGGGCAGCAAACCGCAGTGCAATTTTCCCCAACATTGGCAATGAACCCTCGCTTTAGATTACGGGCTTTTAATACAAAGGAGTAATTTACATTCAGCGAGGAAGTGATTTACCATATATCGCTACGGAAATGTTGACGGAAGTCTGAACAATATGTCCTAGCACCCCCGAAAATAGTATGGTCCTGTGTCGACATTAACATAATCTATGCCAGGATGTAATAATCACTATTTGATACTCCTAATTAATAAACGTGTGGAACATTGCATGCAAAGCAAACAAAATTTTCTTAAAGTGTAAAGTATATTATGTTTTAATAGGTTCAAAATAAATTTAGTTGCAGAAATATACCGCCCATAATAAAAATGGGAGCATCCACATCAAAGCAAAGTGAATGTCGCTTCGCCAGCCACCAAAAAAACTTCGCGAAGTACACACAGACGTGTCTGTAGGTACTCCGGTATGCTTACCTGGTGGGGTCTCAGTGATCTCGCCGGGTAGAGCGGTATTATTATCGTCTTGTACGATTTATCGTTTTGTGCGCCCTTCATTGGGTTACTATTTTTTGTTTGGTTCGGTCTACCATTAAACAGGCCCACAGAAAAAAACAAGTACCCATAGAAAATACAAAGTACCCATAGAAAATACAAAGTACCCATAGAAAATACAAAGTACCCATAGAAAATACAAAGTACCCACAGAAAATACAAAGTACCCACAGAAAAAAACAAGTACCCATAGAAAATACAAAGTACCCATAGAAAATACAAAGTACCCATAGAAAATACAAAGTACCCATAGAAAATACAAAGTACCCATAGAAAATACAAAGTACCCACAGAAAAAAATAAGTACCCATAGAAAATACAAAGTACCCATAGAAAATACAAAGTACCCATAGAAAATACAAAGTGGAATAAAAAATGCTAAGTGTACCTATGGGCCTTCGTAGGATCTGTCCATCATGTCATTTATCTTGTCACTTCGTAGTCGTCTGGCAACTTTGTGCAAGTGGGTAATCTCCAAGCAGATCATACGTTGGCTAGGCAGTATCCATTGGTCTTCCCACATCTCATAACCCTCCCCACATTGCACAACCCTCCACAACCGTTCCCGACACTCCACAACCCTTCCTAAAACTGCTCAACCCTTTCCGACACTCTACAACCCTTCCCACACCCACAACCCTTCCCGACACTCCACAACCCTTCCCAACACTCCACACCATTCTCAACACTCCACAACCCTTCCCAACACTCCACAACCCTTCCCAACACTGCACAACCCTTCCCAACACTACACAACCCTTCCCAACACTACACAACCTTCCCAACATTCCACAACCCTTCTCAACACTCCACAACCCTTCGCAACACTGCAGAACCCTTCCCAACACTGCAGAACCCTTCTCAACACTCCACAACCCTTCCCGACACTCCACAACCCTTCCCAACATTGCTCAACCCTTCCTGACACTCCACAACCCTTCCCAACACTCCACACCATTCTCAACACCTCACAACCCTTCCCAACACTCCACAACCCTTTCCAACACTCCACAACCCTTCCCAACACTAGACAACTCTTCCCAACACTCCACAACCCTTCCCAACACTCCACAGCCCTTTCCAACACTCCACAAATCTTCCAAACACTCCAAAACCCTTCCCAACCATTTCCACACCCTTCCGCAACACTTTACAACCTTCTCATATTTCAGAACCCTTCCAATATTAACAACGTCCCAACATTTCACAACACTTGCAATACAATAAGGGTTGTAGTGAAAGGCTGATGAGTGAACATGTTATATTGTACATGTATAATTTAAAGAGAATTAGGTATTGAAGTGTGGTCTCCATCATTATGAGTTGAGAGAAAGTATGACTTAACACAGTGAATTGTAACGTAAACAGCTTTGATCCAAACTACGGTAGCTTTCAGTGACATGGATGCCATCACTTCGCAAAATCTGCAATTTTCGCTGTCGTTCAAACTATAAACAAAGCCCATGAGTTCCTGCAAACTTTAGTACACAACCTGCAAACTTTCGTCGCCTTATCCGTGTTTAGATCTTATCATTTTTTTTTAGTTTATGCATGGATTATGCCACATCAAACTTTAGTTGCACGTGTTAACTTTGCATGGTATAAAGACTTTCTAGATCTACTTTGCCCAGCTGCGGTGAGATTTTCAATAAAATGGGGAAATATGGGAAACTTTTTCGTGTTGACGTGTATATATGTCTGGAGATTGGTTTGTAAATACTGTAAATATTGTTATGTTCGCAGTGGCTATATTTCCACAGTTTTTATAGGTATGCCGTCCATTGCCAACTTATGACACAACGAATATGCGCTTCCCCTGGATTACTAGTTATGGAGGTGTTTAATTGTGAACTTGTAACACCATGGAAACATCCTCCCCCTCCCCTTTACTGCAGAAATTAAGGCCTTGCAATAATGAAGGAATCTACAGTAACCCGCTGTGTTTCAAGGCTGACCTGAAGTCTGCCAGACAAGTCAGACACACTCCAGCGTGAACCATTTTAACAATGAGTTAACAAGAGAAGGGCTGGTAAAAACTTTGGTTGTATCGGCCCGACCGTTTCCTCAGTTAGCGTTTTGAGATACATGGAACCGTATGGGAAGACAGGCAGAAATATCTTAGACAGAGTAATATTATAGATTGGTTGAAAGATAACAGTAATGACAGTCTGTCTTTGTCTTCAATGGTGACTCAGGTAAAGCCGGGGGAGGGTTAGTACAGGTCACTTGTCTTATAGCACAGATAATTACACATAAACGGTTAGTTAGAGTCGATGGTTAAAAATAGGCCGAGAATGGGTGGAGATGTCCACAATGTCATTTATCTTGTCACTTCTTACCCTTCTGGCGACTTTTATTTAATAAGCACCTGGGGAGCACTACTGATCAGTAGGCCGTGTTAAGGCTCTATGAACCCAAAATGATATGAATTTTCATCCAAACCTCGATTTTTGTTGTAATTTCGCTAGAGTCGATACTTGTTCTGTCGCACACAGGATTTCTTTTGCTGGATGAATTAACGTTTCCTGAAATGATTTATTTGAAAGTTTATTGCAAATACATGCCCGAGGGCTAATTGCAGTTACAAACAACATAAGAAAGAAAATACAGTGGTATGTGAGACTATGTCTACGTCTAGCATTATACTATATTCTATTATACTTCATTCTACTATATTCCGGATTTATTACATCCGGCATTATGATTTGCAACTTCAGACGGACAGAAGGTTTTGTCAAAATCATGCCTTAGATACTAAAAAATGTCTGAAAAGTTCCCATACGCCTATTTGTCAATACATAATGTCATGTTCAAAAATACATGACTTTATTTTAAGATATCAATGTTTATCAGCGTTACATCGGGCCAAGTGGTTGTATCTTGAATTCTCAAAGCCTAGCCACGCCTACAATTCTCCCTGCATAGATAATGAATGAATGAATGAAGACCTTTATTGTACAAACATACCCACTGGGTTAGGTACAAAGGTTAACTTGAATACACAAATATATACATAACAAGATCAATCTAGTACTAGCACTACAGTCTGTTACATAATTTCGACTTCTCTTCGCTTCTCTGTGATGTTGAAAACATAAGAACATACAAGTTTAAGGATCGAGGGTTTGTCTAAGTTCATTAAAAATGTGAATTTGTAACTTCTATTAACGAGTGTGCATTTCTTTAAACCTTCTTTAAAGAAATACACAATGACACCAGAGGTGGTCCTGCTAAAAACAAACTTAGGACCTATAGACTGTTCAAATTGGCCTACAATGAAGAACAGTACCTAAATATCGACAACACACGGCACAAAAACGCCGTCACAAAACTACGGATCAGCTGCCATAAACTACACATTGAGACCGGTCGACATAACCGCACTCCCCTGGAACAACGTATTTGTCGATACTGTAATCTAGATAGAATAGAAGATGAACATATAAGATGACTATATACTATAAACGCCGCAAACAAGACAACAATGGAAGAAGTACAAAACAACCGGGTGTGAACAATATGGAGAACACATCACGTCTGGAGACAGCGGAACAGAATCATCACAACAAAGAGCAGCCGCTAGACGTGTTAATCCTGGGCGACAGCAACACAAAAGCAATCAAACCTGAGATCCTATACCCTGACAAAAGTGCCAAAAGTGATGTAACTTTCAATCTAACAGAAGCCGAGGGCTACATTCAGAACTCTGCCCTTCCTGCCCCTAAAGGTGATTCTGTTTCACATCGGCACAAATGATGTCCGGGACGCGCGCGACGCTGCTACAGTAACCGAGGGATTTCGGAGGCTCGTCCACGTCGCCCACGACAAATAGCCCAGCACCAATCTTGTCTTCTCACCCATTCTCCCAAGGGATGACCCACACCTCATGGATATAGGTGATGACATCAACTCTTTCTTAAAAGTAGTTGCGGATGAGACAAGCTATGTACATATCACAGACAACTCCAACCTCTCCAGCTCAGGAACAATCAAGAAATCCCTGTTCGCCTCAGATGGCTACCATCTGAACAGATATGGGACTCGAGTGCTGGACCCCCTCATAGGTCTGGGCGAATACAAAGGCAGAAGGAGCCAGCTTGCTAGTAATCAACCCTCTCCGATCCGCTCATACAGAGATGTAGTAATCGGTGCTCCCACAAGCAAGCAGCGCCAGTCACCTTCGCGCCCACCCACTCGCCATCAGCCCATGCGGATTCAGACCTCTCCAACCTCGAGGCCAGCCCGCCGGCCCTCCGGTCCCCCCATGGGAAGCCGTTCCTCCACACAAGGGCAGGGACGCACGGCTCCGTTTCCAGAGAACGGACCAGCAAACAACACGCTGAACTCCTCTACACAACAATCTTCTGTACGGAAGGAACATCCATTTTCCGTACCAAGTCTTAATGTTGGACCCTGGAGTCGCCACCCTCCGCCCGGACCCTGGAGTCTATCCCCGCCCACCGGACCCTGGGGCCCGCCCGTACCCCACCCTCCTGCTGCCCCCTGGGGACCTCCTCCAGCCCGGCCCAACATCCCGAACCAGCCCCGCCACGCACCGCCGAAGTTGTTGTTCTGAAGTTTTTCCTAAAACCTGCCTGGTGAGGTTTAAAAAGATTATTGTTTTCTGCATAACTAACAAGGCGATTGTTTAATATAGATGAGAATAGTTTACCTAAGCAGCTAATTATAGAGATCCCGCGATAATTGTCTGGGAGAGAAGGGTCCCCAGACTTGTGAATTGGTACAATGTGACTGAGGGACCATTCTTGTGGAAAATGCCCGTTTTGCAGGCATGTATTGAACAATTGAAGGAGTGGGGTTTGGAGTACTATTAAAAGTGTGTATTTACTATATAGAAGTCTACTACTAATATGCTATGTGTGTGTTGACTATTAAAAATGTGAGTTTGATAATGAGCTGCCTACACATCTCTATCCTACCTGACGACCCGCACACTTGAGGGCGAGACAAGAGGTGAACAAGTCCGACCCGAAGTTTCTTCAACAACATTTGTAGCGTTTTGAGATGTGGGGCGACAAGCAGAAATATTTTAGACATAATAATATTATAGATTGGTTGTAAGATAACAAGAATGCAGTAATGACAGTCGGTCTCTGTCTTCAATGGTGACTCAGGTCGTTGTCTATGGGTAGGGCTGAGATAGGGAGTGGAGCTGTCAATCATTTAGTTCATTCATCTTGTCACTTCTAATATACAGGTTTGGCAGGACTTTGTTTACGCAGGGGTCACTATCGTCAAGCTCCCAGACTGATGTAGGAACGTATTTCTCACATACCTGTGTTCTAGATTCTATGCAGTTTAAGATCTCCGTTCGGTATTCAGGCGCATCTCCAAAATCCTGGTTAACATTCCATATGGAGTTGCACAAGTGAGTTTCAGACCATAACAGCACCTCCTTTGCACACCTTTAAAGACACGATAGTCTTTTTTTTATTCCAACATTTCATGACTAGACATGGCGACGGCACACTCGTGTTATATCAACTTATTTCATGCCGCCACCAACGCAGAGGACGAATACGGAAGAGGACAATACAATACTCATTTACACCTGAGCTAAGTGAGGAAAGTCGTGTAAAGTGCCTTTCCCAAGGGCACAAGATCGGTGGCATGTCAGGACTCGAACCCGGGACCTCTTGATTCCGAGTCGAGCACGATACATTCTTGACTTGGGACCTCAGACCTCTGGGCGCTATTTGATATCACTACTCCGGATATGGTCTTTTTGTGCGTACAACTCTGAGATACCGCCCCCCTCAATTACTAGTGTTATGTAACATCCCTTTCCTTGGTGCTGAAAGACCATTCTCTTCACAGTACTATAAAAAATACCACATTCTGTTTGTCCTCCTTCAAATTCTATCACCTCCGTGATGTTCACCTTCATGAAAACTAGCTTTAGTATATGTAGATCGTAGCTGCTGGCTACAAAATACCAATTTTTACCTCGAAACAATGAGATGCCAGCTGAAGCAGCAACAGACTGCGTGCATGGTCTAAGAGCGCCCCGCTGCGGTTCCTTTACAAGGTACACCACGTGGTGCTTGTAGTTACTTGTGTGATTTCAGTGACATTTAGTGATATATGATAAATCCAAACATTACATTACTAGTATACTTTGATGTCCTTTTACATTTTTGTCACTTAAGCCTTGAGTTTACGTATACACCAATCATCCTCCCGAGGCAGGGTCGGTGGCGCGGTATTCTATACCCTTACAAGCATTAAAAAATCAGGGTTCTCACCAGGATTTTTTCACAGCGTAGGGGTCAGGTATAGAAGGGCAACTTTCTGCGGCGCGAGTCACGCACCGAGTCCCCAAAACATGGGCCTGATATTCTCCCCCAAAAATTTTGTAACTCATATTAACCACTTAAGACACTATTTACTGTTTATTGGGGGACAGATTTTGTTTTCCCTCTGTTATAGCTTCATTCTTAAGTTATATTTTCATTTTTTTAAAGATTAATGAAGCTTCTGCCCCCAAAAACCACCCCTACGCTGGTTGAAACACAGTGTAGGGGGCTAAATCACAGCGTAGGGGGTCAAAATCACAGCGTAGGGGGCCCCTACGCTCAAACAGCCTAGTGAGAACTACTAGTATGCATTTGTATGAAATGTATGCACTACAGTTTTCTCCACCCTGCTGAATTCTCTGATTATCCTCCATCTTTTCTGCTGCCTACTCCTCTTTCTTCCTCCTGATGGTTCTGGCTATTCCCGATGACTGTGACACATGTCCATACCACTTTGAGAGGATGTCCCTATCTGAATATAGGAACATGTTTTCATAGGTGTAAAGTGCCTTTCTCATAGCACAACACTGGGGCCTGTCAGGGATTAGATTCTGAGTCAACAACCCCAACCACAGGACCACCTTTTTATACATGTATACTCAGCACTATGCCACCTTGATCATCCTGTTCTCCACGGGTGTCATCAAAACTGGCTGGGGAGGGGGGGGGGTAGACTCTTCCACAACTGTTTCCCCATGTATTAAACTCCACAACCTGCAAAGTTTTATCACCACTGACCTGATTATATCAATGAATGTTTTGCGCACATCAATCCAGTATGGCTTAATTTGGAGGTTTAGAGCCATGTTCAAATTTGGGCATAATTTCTGTCCTTGAATTTTATAAAAATTTCTTGTGTTGGAAACAAATTCTATGTATTTCACTACCATAAAGAGTAGATTGGAAAATGTTTTGACTTGGAAAAATGTCAAGCAGGTTGGGCCAAGGCCATCATATGAATAGATAATTTATTTTTTCATTGCACAATTGTAGTGCAAATGTAGTTCTAATGGTAAACCATTGGAGAATAGTGTTTGTTTTACACCGCCACAGTATTCTGACCTGTCAACATTTTGGCAGTTGAGCAGCCATCAAAAATTTGTATTGAGAGTGACTGCTTTGTGTTGGATTTAAGTGTTCAAAAACTGTACAATATTATCCGTAAATTAAATTTCATCAGGTTGGTAAACATACGAATAGCAGTTCTTTGATCACAACCATTTATTTTTACGAGCCGACGTTTCGATGACCGTCTGTCATCTTCATCAGGGCCATTCTGACTGGTTTACTGTGCACTGTGACTTTTGCTAATTTCTATTTGGGATTGCATAGCTCAGTATTGTTAGCTAACAAATGTTATATTATATATAGAAACACTTGATGTAACAATGCCTAGTACGTACAATTGCACTACATTTGGAAATGCATTGACATTGTTAACAGTAAAAACTAGCTAAGTGCACCATGAACCAATTTACAGTGCACTGTGACCCATGTAACACCTTTAGTGCACTATGCACCAAGTAACATCTAGCGTCAGTGCACAGTAAACCAGTCAGAATTGCCCTGATGAAGATGACAGACGGTCATCAAAACATCGGCTCTTTGAAAATAAATGGTTGTGATCAAAGAACTTTGCTGTACAATATTATGTTTTATTCTGACATCACAGATTAGATCTCATTCTAATCATGGGTAGGGTTTAATACAAATGGTACATATATTTTTCTTTTCATTGAAAAGATTTTTTCTCTTTTATGTTAATTATCTGTGTGATGTATTTGTGTTCCAAATGAATTATGTAGCTAAAGAATTAGCCTTCAGCAAGGTTATTTCATACAAGTTCCCATTTTTAAAATATTATTTAACTTTAATTAGTGCTTAAACCAAAGTAATACAAAATATATATCTGTCACGTAATATAATGACACCTAAGAGATAAATATACAGAATGAAAACTGTATTTTAAGATGGATTTTTACCAAGCACCAAGAAATCTGGACTTAAGAAAGTGATTTTTATGTGGATTTAGCACCACTGAATTGTTGCATGGGTGTAGTTTTTTTTAGATTTGATTTAGGCTACTGGAGTGGCTGAATTATACCTGTAAGTTTTTTACCTTCCCCCTGCAACTTACCTTCCCCCCTACAAATTTACTATTTGCAGGCTGTCCAATGACAAGAAACAAGACATAGCCTTCAGAACACCACATTTATTGTCACTTCTGAATCAGTAGTATTGAATGCCACATGCCACATTAGAAGATGAACACACGTAACTACATGTACACATGTCAATATGGCACAATGTAGTATGATCAAATAAGTAAGGAACAAAATTTCTGTACCAAAAACTGTACCAAAGGAATTGCTAAATAAAAATATGCAGTATTCATTCATTCATTATATAATAAGAAAGCTGCAAATAGTTCAATAAAACGGAAGGAAACCATACCTTATCAATACTTCATTTTCATGCATACACATGTACACCTTCATGTTATGTTATGAAACTTTTTATGAAATACTGAAGTAGCAATACGTCTAACATCAGAATATTGAATTATTACTTTAACAATAAAAATTACTTCTGGATGAAAGAAATTAAAATTGGAAATCATTCCATCACCATTCTGTGATATTCTGCTTATCAAAATCCACAAACACATTTCACTCAAAGTA